TCACACCCATCAATCACGTGTTGAGAGCTGTTTGAGGGCATTAATGTCTTCGCCTGCTGGACTTTCTGCCTGTGCAGAATGTGGGTGAACCCTTCCTCATGACTCCTATAGCCTCTCACTCTTTCCGAAGTTGGTGGTTTGAGGTGGAGGCCATGCACAGAAGTGCCCGCGCAAAGACTGCCTGCCCACCGCAGACTCTGAAAGCCCTCTGCTCCCCGGGCACCTCTCCCACTCCCCAGGTTGCTCCTCTCTCGGGACACTGGTATCTACCCCCTGACACACACACACCCTCCTAGTCACCACTGTCCCCTTTCTTCCTAAGCTCCTTCCCTTTTCTTTCCAGCTCTTAACCATTTACAGGCTAGCTGCTTTTAAATGCCTCCCAGCTCTAAGTCAAGCTCATGTCTTCTTGCTCCCTCCAAATTTTGAAGCCATGGGTCCCCGCAGACTCCACCCTCTTGTTGTCTGCCACCTCAGTCTGCTGCCACTTCTTCCCCCAAAGGGCTTTTGAAACCGTTGGTTTTGGGGGGCTGGAGAAACGGAAAAGTCCTTAAGAGCACTGGCTGCTCTTCCAGAGGACCTGGGTTCAATTTCCAGCACCCATAAGGCAGCTCACAATTGTCAGAAACTCCAGTTCCAGGGGACCTGACACACTCACATAGACACACATACAGGCAAAACACCAATGCACATAAAATAAAAATAAATTAAAAAAAAATTTTTTTTGCTGCTTTGAGACAATGTCTCCCATAGCTCAAACTGGTCTTGAACTCGCTATAGAGCCAAGGACGACTTTGAATTTCTGATTCTCTCATCTCCTTCTCCCAAATGCTGGGATTACAGGCAGACCACCTTGCCCAGTTTGTGCAGTGATGAGGAGTGAACCCAGGGCTTTCTGCATGCTGACCAACACTCTACCAACTGAGCTGGATCCTCTGCCTCCAAAATTGCTTTTGAGAAGTCACCATGTGTATTTAGTCAAAATTCTCTAGGGAAACAAAACCAATAGAATGAATACATACTACAGGGGACTTAGGTGGTGGTGCACACCTTTAATCCCAGCACTCGGGAGGCAGAGGCAGGTGGATCACTGTGAGTTTGAGGCCAGCCTGGTCCACAGGCTAGTTCCAGGACAGTCGGGGCTACACAGAGAAACCCTGTCTCAATAACAAACAAACAAAAATGAGATTTAGACAACAGATAGATGGTTCAGAGGTTAAGAGCACTGGCTGCTCTTACAGCGGGCCTGGGTTTGGTTCCCAGCACCCACATGGTAGCTCATAACCATCTGTGATGATCTGACACCCCCTACTGATGTCTGCAGGCACCAGGCATGCACATGATACACATGTATACATACAGGCAAAACATTCCTACACATATTTCTTAAGAAAAAACCGGGGATTTACTAGACTGGCTTAAATCGTACAGTCTGGGCTGTGCAACAGTGGCTATCCTGGTACTGGGCAGGCTAAGGACCCAGTGGCGACTTAGTCCTGGAGGCTGGGCACCTCGGCAGTCCCAATCCAGCACTGAAGGCCTGGAAACTTTCTGGAGAAACCACTAGTCTTCAGTCCACATTAGAATCCTAAAGAGCCGGGCAGTGGTGGCGCACGCCTTTAATCCCAGCACTTGGGAGGCAGAGCCAGGTGGATCTCTATGAGTTCAAGGCCAGCCTGGTCTACAGAGTGAGATCCAGGACAGGCACCAAAACTACACAGAGAAACCCTGTCTCATAAAACAAAACCAAACAAACAAAAAAATTGAAAAAGAGCCAGCTGGTGTTGACGCACACCTTTGATCCCAGCACGCAGGAGGCTCACTCATTGGGAGGTGTAGACAGGAATATAAAACAGGTCCTTTCCATGCCCCGGCCCCATTTGGTCTGAGGATTCATAGAGGTGAGAAGTCTCTAGTGGCTGCTGCTCGGCTTCTTTGATCTTTCAGCTTCCACCCTCGATATCTGACTGTGGCGTTTTATTGTTAAGACTAATTAGGATTGCACTTCAGGCACAGGTTCTCTGTGTAGCCCCAGCCGTCCTGGAACTCTGGAATCCAGAACTGATCTTTATGAGCTCAAGGCCACCGTGGCCTATGCAGTGAGTTCCAGACCAGTCAGGACTACATATTGAGACTCTTGCCTCAAAACAACAAGCCGGGCGGTGGTGG